CTCTTTCCCAAATGAAGGGGAGTAGCCCTTCTGTTGATATGACAGGACACCTGCTGGCCCATTTCCCCGTGGGTGGGGTCACTGAGCATCAGAAGCTGCAAACAAGTCCAACCCTGTCTCTTTCTTGTGCTGCCTGCTCGTGGCTGGTGAGCACAGCCCGGTTCTTATTTTGGCTTCCTGTTCCCATGAGGTAAGGGCACCCAGGGCAGGGCTCAGGAACTGCCTTCTTGAGCAGCCTGGGGGCAACCATGTTCTCTCCTGCCCTCTGCAACTCCGTGTTCTTCCAGGCACAGAGTTTGTGGGGCAGGTTCATGATGGTCCATGCAGCTGGTGGGGTAACTGAACTCCAGGTTTGGTGGGTTAATAGAACCCACCCACCAAGACAAGTGCCAGGGTCAGATTTAACATATAAAACTGACCACAATTTGGTTCCTTCCTAATTTCTCAACCATGTCTTCACCATCGCTCAACCTCCTCTTGTCCTTTTACCTCCAACTATGTCCTGCCAGAATACATCTAAAAGTCAAACATGAAGGGAGGTACATGAGTGAGATCTTTTTTGAGTCCCTGTGTGTATGAAAATGTCTTCCTGTTTACCTCAGCACGTGAGTGACAAACAGGTGGCATGTGGGATTTTGAAATCTGACTATTTTCCTCTTAAAACTCTAAAAACTAGCATTTCCTTATCCTCCGAGATGGAAATCCTTAATGGGTGTTAGGTAAAAACTGGGTTTTGTGATCAACTAAGTTTTGGAAACCCTGGATTAAAGACAAGAAGTTTCTTAACTGCCAGGCTTCTCAGACCCCTAATATAAACTGTGAAGCTTCAAGAAGATACAGAGAACCCGACATTTCTCAAATATAATAGGCAGTGCATTTCAAAGAAACAGTGTTCTATAAACTGACATCCTAAAATTTTCATCTCATTGTATGAAAAGAATCAAAGCAAGGCCTATTCCAAAGAGGAAAGCCATTCCTAACTTTGGCGGGTCTTAAGGCATCTCTTCATGACTGTTCACCCTAGTTTTCTGGACACAATATACTCTCAAACCTTGTTGGGAATGTAAATCAGAAAATTTCTAAACATTTGTTTTTCTTTCTTCCTAAAAACACATCTCTTTTAGAGGAAGGCGCTTCTTATGGTTCTTCAGTGTGTCCCCCTTTTCTTCAATGTATTATCCACAGGTCTGAGATAATATTATATTTGCTGTAAATTTATGTTAATAGCTCAGAAATTCAACAGGATGGTGTTTGGGATACATGTTTGCTGCCTTTGAGGAGTGAGAAGGGCTGCTGAAGACACGAGCAGCTGCAGGAAGGTAGGAGAGCCTCTCCTCCGAGTTCTCAGGCCCAGGCCCCCAGCTGGGGACCAGGCAGTGCCTCTCTGCTGCCCTGAGTGCAGCCCTGGGCCAGATCTCAGGTGGGCAGTGCCCTGGTCTCTGCTTGTGGCAGCCCCCATGCCAACAGCAGAGCCCAGAGCCCACTGTGCCAGCCTTCCCTGCTATGGTGGCCGCCCACTGCCCACCGCAGGAGGAATGCCCTTGTGCCAGATCTCCACTGCTTGTGGTGCCCACACTGTTAACAATGTTCATTTGAGATCATAGGACTGAACTCTTCTCTAAGCCAGTGTGCGCGTTCTAAAATAACACCCAAGCCAAGAAACAGCTGGAAGAAGAAAATTCTGAATACATTTCTTCTCTTTGTTCCAGCAAAGATTCAAACCGGTGTTAACACTTCCGAATAATAAAACTTCATTAAGGAGGTAACAGACCGGTGAGAAAGGCAACCATTTTAAGCAAATTATTGCAAAATCAAATGAATGCAGGCCAGGAAAGGAAAGATGGAATTGCAGCCCTCTTCCCCATCTTCTCCTGAATATATTCATATCTTCGACATAAAATCATCCCACTTTTATATTTTACTAGGAGCTCAAGGTCTCTTGATTCTTCAAGAGACTCGCTGTTTATTCATGGGCAGGCTAAAGAACTCTTTTGAGTCAGCAGATGTCAGTCCCAGGACCCCCGTTAGGTGCTTCAGAGAGACATCTCATGGTCTGTGAATCAGACTTGTACTGTCTGATGAACAACTTTAATTCATCTGTACATTTATTTGGTCCTTGCTTCTCCTGCCCTTAGGAGTTGATCTGCTTTGCTGCTGCTCTCATGAGTTGACCCGTATACACAGTCAAGTTCTAACCTATGACTTATTACCTGAAAAGAGAGAGAGTCACCTGAACACACAGTGAAGTCTTTCCTCCGGCACTTTGCACAAGCTGTTCCCTCCGCCTGAAACATCTCCTCCCGGCTGTCTTCCTCCCTGCATATCACAACCACCTGAAGTTATTTTCCTTTAATAATTTTTTCTTTTTTTTTTTTTCACCTGTTTGTTGTCTGTCATCTCCCACAGGACTGTAAACTCAAGAAGGCAGGGACACGTCTGTCTCATACACCTCTGAGTCCCCAGTGCTTAGAACAGTACCTTGTACAGAGAAGGGGCTCTGTGAATACCTGTTAAATAAATAAACATGCTACCCCCTCACTTGTTACCTATCCTTCAAGCCTCAGAGTTTCCTCTGGGATGCCTTCTCCATCTCCCCAAGACTGGTGCAGGCTGTGCTACTCTGAGCTTGCACAGCCCCTAAGCTGCATCATCTGCAGCTCACCACACTGTGCTGACACCGTTCGCTTGCCCAGCTGCCTCTCCCACTGAACTACAAGCAACTTGAGGGCAGGGACTACGTTATGTTTCCCATGATATCTACAGTGTCTAAATGGTGCCTAACACTAACTGTTAAGTGAACATTTTTCTCCATTGCTTTTCTTCAATCTCCTCCTCTTCTAGACAGTCCTCTAGTTTAAAAAGCTGTGAGTATATGCATATATTTAGACTATACTTGCTGCAAAAAGGATTTGAGATAGCTATAAGTATATCTATAGGTATTATAATATTTAGAGAGAACACCTACAAGGGAAAGAGGGAATTGAGAAATTAGAAAAAGATACAATGTTAGTTACATCAAGAAACACTCTTTTACTTGAAAATTCCAAGCAGTTTAGACAATGGTTCCAGGTACTACTCCACCCGCACACGTGTGAATTAGCTGATACTGCCTGAATTCTCCTAAATTAGAAAGATACAATGTTAGTTACATCAAGAAACACTCTTTTACTTGAAAATTCCAAGCAGTTTAGACAATGGTTCCAGGTACTACTCCACCCGCACACGTGTGAATTAGCTGATACTGCCTGAATTCTCCTTTCCTTTTGCATTCTATGTAAAAGTTATTACACATTCCAGAAAGGAATCTGAGGGGTATTGGTGGTTAACTGGTAGAATTCTCACCTCCCAGAAAGAAATTGGAAAAATCAGTTATCAACTTCAATTTCCCAGATAATGGTCACATAATATACAAAATTAGAAGTCAAGGTATCTCAGTGGACCGAATGTGGTGTGTCCCTGGGGGTGGAAGAGAGGAGAAGTAAACATTCATTGGGGTCATCACCTTCGCCTCACATTGACAGAAAACTGCAAGAAGCCCAAGGGCAAGAGAAGCAGTGGTTTCCTCTGTGCGGCCCCCACCCCCACCCCGCAACTCCTCCCAGGGGGTCTCTCTTGAGTGTGGACCTGGGGACCACTGAGTGCTGTAGCGAGGGAGGGGCTCAGGCTGGGGGGTCAGCTTGACCTGGGCTGAATCTGGGCCCCTCCAACCTCAGCAGTGGAATTTTGGATAAGTTACTCTGACACTCAGTTTCCTCATTGGAAAATGGGGGTTAAAAAATGTAAACTGCTCAGTAAGTATTGAGGACTAAATGACATATGAATTGCCCAGCACAGTGTCTGGCATGGGTTGGTGCTCAGTAAACATAAGCGTCCTCCCCCCACTTCCTGGTTTCTAGGCTGGTGAAGGGAACTCTACCATCACTGCCAGGAATCCAGCTCTGCAGTAAGACTTACCCCGCCTTTCTCGTCTTCCTCCACCCCTGCGGGTGAGAAGAGTGAAGTGAGAACGCAGGCCCTCCTCCCACAAAATCCAGCTCAGGTCTGTTTCCAAAAGCCCTGAGCACAATGCTGGACCCCCAGAAGCACACCCCACTCTGGCCTCATAAATAAAATTGTCAGATGAATTCACAATCTCCTTTTCTTTCTTCCTACTTAATAGCATAGGATTTGGTGTGAGTGAATATCACTACGTAAGACTTTCCTAAATACCAGCTTTATATTTTAGTTGTCATCTATTGAGTTTGAAACTCCACAAATAGAAAATCATATAAAATTTCTTCTGTAAGTTCTAGCAGCAGGTCAGTGGGTCAACAGAAATAAAAACAAATCACCTATCTGTCTGTTTGCTTTGGCTGGACAGATTAAATCTATCTAACCTGATTCAAAGTCATGTTTAATTCTGGCTGCTGATTTCTGAAGAAAATGCTGAGAAGGCCTTGCAATGGGACTGAATTACATGTTGTTTATGTTCAGTTACTTCATTAAACTGAACTTTATTGACACTTTCATAAAGTAAACATCTACAATGATCCTTCCAATTTTTACCTGCGGAGATGTTTCTGGTTTCCAACCCACTTATTTTTATTGCCTCTGTTCATCAGATAAAATGAAGATTTTGAGGCCAAAGGGGAATGACAGGGAAGATACATCCTGAAAACCTTTCAAAACTTATCCTCTCCTCAGACAATAAAAAAGGATATTTGTCGTCCTGGCTTGTCCCCAGACCGTCGGTGGAGGGGGTGGAAGCGGGTCCGGGACGGCCTCTCCACCAGCCCGTGGTGGCGGGTTCCGCGCACACTGTCAGCTGGGTGGAACGCCGGCTGTGGAGAGAAGGAAGAGAGTTGGCCTGTGACCGTGACATTGCCACTCACCCTCAAGAACACCAACTGATCACAACCACAGATGACAAGGCTGACTTTATAATTTTACTGGTGTCTATGACTGTGCCTTGAGTCAAGGTAAATAAAATGCAGCACATGGAGCTGTTTCTACATCATTACAGAATAATTTAAAGTAGTCTTTAGTGTGTGAAGATGAAAGCTGAAAGAATGATATATTAAAAGTTGTCACAATTTGGAGACTATGGACTCATACATCAAATCCCAGGAACTAGGAGATAAGCATGAAATGTAAAAGAGGTATACTTAAGACAGAAGCGAACTGAGTACCTACAGCGTGCAGTGTGCAGAAACATAGATGTGGCATCCAGAAATAAAATGGGATACCTCCTGGGGACTGGGGACTACTTGCTCTATATGGTGTCTTTTTATATTTTTGATTGACTCGACAATGTTTAAAAATTCAGGTTTGGGGCTTCTAGTGAAAAATCTGAACATCTTGGCCACACTGGTCCCAAATTCCCACTTGGCAATGGGGACTGAAATTGAGAGTAGCTGCTCTCTGCAGGTGGGACACTGGACCACTCGAATGACTTCTTATGTTAGACATCTGAGTTTGTGACCCCTGAGTCAAGGCGAGAAAAAAGAATACTACCTGAATACAAGTGGGAAACACACAACTCATTATCAACTCATTATACCCCAAATGGCACAAATGAAAATACAAACAGATTCAAGATAAATCCATGGTCAATAAATACAAAATCCTTTATTAATGGAGGCTTGGGTGACATTCTTAACATTTTTGAGTTTGGCATCATAAAAGGCAACCTTTTTTTTTTTTTTAACACCTTTGTTGGAGTATAATTGCTTTACAGTGCTGTGTTAGTTTCTGCTGTATTACAAAGTGAATCAGCTACATGCATACGTATATCCCCATATCCCCTTCCTCTTGAGTCTCCCTCCCATCCTCTTTATCCCACCCCTCTAGGTGGTCAGAAGCAAAAACCAAATCCTAGGCTGGACCATTCTACCTCACATAATGGGGCAATGTGTATACAATATTATGCCAGAGATGTTTGTGAAATACATGAAAACAGATTTTCTTTTATGTAAATTGAATCATATGTCAAATACCTAGCTTACTATGAAAGGAATCCTTTGACGGAGTATGTCTTTCTGGGGGAGCTTCTTTTAGTTAAGAATTGGTCGCTAAGTTTTCTTTGTTAAACACAGAGATTTTCTTTTATGTAAATTGAATCATATGTCAAATACCTAGCTTACTATGAAAGGAATCCTTTGACGGAGTATGTCTTTCTGGGGGAGCTTCTTTTAGTTAAGAATTGGTCGCTAAGTTTTCTTTGTTAAACACACATTTCTTATATCGGATTTGGGAATGACTCCTATATCTCCCGAGTGGACTGATAAAATGTCTGGACTAGTTTAGTTGAACAGTTCTGTCAGCAAAGGGTCCCAGGTTCCAGCCTGTCTCAGTTCTCTATTTTTACAATCCAAATCTATTAACTCCTAAAATAAGGAGATCTTACTGAGGAACAACCTCTGGTACTGGAAGAAAAATATCCATTGCAATAGGTAAGATGGATGTTGATCTCAGACAAGAGAGCACACTAATCTAGGGAGTGATAAATTGAAACACCTTTGTTAATCAAGAGGATGAATACCCAAGGCACACTTTATCAGGACCTGCTTACACAGTAGACATAATTTTAAGAGACAGATTACTTTGTTCCAGGATAAAAGAAAAGGGAGAACTCTCTGGTAATAAAATCACACGAATGTTAACTGTACTTGAAAACAACATTCTCCTCTAGGAGTCGTAGAGCACAACTACTGCCAGACTGAGCTCCCAGAGGCCAGCCTACAGAAGAGGCACCGAGGGTCTTTAGAAGGGGATCCAAGGGGACCTCCCCGGCGGTGCAGTGGTTAAGACTCTGTGCTTCCACTGCAGGGGAACTGAGATCCCGCATGCCGCACGGTGTGGCCAAAATAATAAAATTAAAAATAAAGGGGTGGGGGGAATCCCAAAAGCAGAAAGCTCTTGGAATGTCTTCTGAACTTCCTACTACACATATATTTTCTATTTACACTTGCCTGTTTTGCCTTAACCCCTGCTGGCCCAGATCCTCTATTATTACTTGGACTCAGTGTGTGTGTGTGTGTGGAGGGGGGAAAATCTCTGAAATTTTCTTCTCTTCCTCACCGTGGCACAAGTTCAACTCTCTGCCCCTGTAGTAGCTGATCTTCTTCCACACTCTATTTGACTTTAGCCCTCTCAACTCACAGGGCCTTGCCCATCAAATGAATTAGAGCAGTTCAGCCCAGGAAGCTGGAACTGGAGGAGGTTTCACAGTGAAGGAGTCTGTTAAACACTAAGGTGTTTGGTAGTTGGCCTAAGTCTCTGGATCCCCAAAAGCTAGGGACAAACAGACACACAGTTCTCCTGTTCCCACCAACTTCCAATCTCGTCCTTGATAAGAGCTAAAATTCTGTTATTTAAAAATGTATTTCTTAAGCTAACTTTAATGCAAAAAAGAAATAAAACCCTACCACCCTGAAGGTCAAGTACTTCATTTTTTCTGTTCCTTTTCAAGTTTTATCCATAGTTTTTACATGATGGTACCCATAGCACATTTATTTTTGTGATCTATTTTCCGTACTTAACATTTTGTAAACAATCTTCCATATATTATGTAATCCTTACAGTTATTAATTCAATAAGCATACAGTATTTCATTTCCAATATTCATAAGGCCAAAACTCCATTATACAGTTCAAAGAACTTCTGGTTTGGAATCAAAGAAAACAGTCTCAGTCCAGAATCTTCCACTTACTAACAAGTTACTTCATTCGTCGTCCTTATCTGTAAAGTGGAAATGATCATCTGATAACTTCCTCATAGGCTTGTTGAGAAAACGAAATTAGGTTATGTGTGTGAAAGCTGCCTTATCCCAAGGATACTGGGTGTTACAGACTGAATTGTGTCCCCCAGAATTTGTGCATTAAAGCCCTAATCCCCAATGTGACTGTATTTGGAGATGGGGCCTTTAAGGCAGTAATTAAGGTTAAATGAGGTCATAAGGAAGGCTCTAATCCATAGGACTGGTGTCCTTTTTTTTTTTTTTTTTTTTTTTAGGACTGGTGTACTTTTAAGAAGAGGAAGAGACACCAGGAGGACATGCACACAGATGAAAGGCCATGTGAGGACAAAGCAAGAAGGCAGCCATCTGCAAGCCAGGAAGAGAGTCCTCAATAGAAACCAAACTACCAACACCTTGATTTTGAACTTTGCAGCCTCCAGAACTATGAAAAAATAAATTTTTGTTGTTTGAGCCACCCAGTCTGTGGTATTCTATTAGGGAAGGTCAAGCAGGCCAATACATTGGGCATCAGAAGGAGGATGGATATCCAGGTGGTGGGACACTGGAGAGCATCTTGTTAAAGGTGAGGCCACCCTGCAGAGCCCTTCTGTGGACAGCAGGAGTGACATCATCGTTAGGGGCATCCTCCAGCATTCTGAGCCTCCCACACCCATCTGCTGCCCATGCCATGTCACCTCTGAAAGCTGCAATCTGGAATGAATGCCTGAAAAGAATGTTGGCAGGGCCTTGTGACTTGCTTTAATCAATGGATCATGAGCACACGTGACATACATCTTGTCCAAACAGAAACTCTCACACCCTTCCTTCTGCCATGAGAATGCCATGTCCCAAAGAGCGGATGCTGCTTCAACCTCAGTTGCAGAAGGGGAAGATAAAGGGAGGAGAGCGCAGCAGGGAATATGAGTGAAAAACAAAGGTTTGCTGAAAGTCCCAGAGTTTTTGAATTGGTTGGTACTGTAGCAAAGCTGACTGATATGGCAGTGATGGCAGAGAGAGACTGCAGTGAGATGGAGAGTCCTGCTTTTCACGAAGAGCAACAAGGGAAGTGTAAAGTCAAAAGATCCTGCAAATTGGTGCCTACATGTTTTAAGGAGGGCCTCAGGCTCAGGTTCTGACAAGCACCACCCTATCTGAAAACGTGGGACCCAGACACTAAGTAGAGAAGACAGGACTCCTGCACACCCGTATACAAAAGCTCCTCCACACTGAGATCTGGGATCCGGTGCTGGACTACCCATAGGTAGACCGAGCACATTCTTAGGATACAAGCAAGAAAAGGGCAACACAGAAGAGGAAGACTCTATTTGAGAGACTGTCCAATAACATTCAAAGTATTCAGTGTGGGAAAAATCAGAATTTAGCTGGATTTCCTTATCTTTTTGTTTGTTTGTTCTGGATGGCCTAACAGTTTTTATTCTGAAATACATAGGGATGGGAGGTCCAATAACCTCTTCAAGGCCCGGGCCAGCACTGGTCTTACTGCAGGGCCCCAGGCACGAGAAAGCGGATGGGAACGGCACATGGGGAGCGGCAGTGTCCTTGCTGGCTGCCTGAGGTAATGCAGGGGTGAGGGTTAGCACCAGGAGGCTCAGTAGGAACCTGAGCAGTGAAGGGGTGGCCAGAGAATTCTGTTTCACATTGTGACTGAATTGCCAGGGCCTGAGCACGGAGAGGAATGACCGAGTGGTAACCCAAGGCAGGGGAAATGTGGATTCTGGGCTTAGGTCCCCAAATCTGAGAGAGGGTAGACTAGGTGGAGCACAGACCAAACACCAAGGTTCCACGGACCTCAACAGTGAAGGACAATGAGGCCGGGGCGGGAGGGTACAGGTGCTTCCTGAGTTGGCAAGTAGCTATAGCCATAGGCAATTCTTACTTAGTTTCTGTGGCTGGGCTTTGGGGGGAGGAGGCGAATTCAAAGTGGTTCAAGGTACTTCTGGGAATTGAATGTCCACTTGCAGAGAGCCCCCGTTTCAGGCTCTCCCCGCTTTGCAGGATTGCATGCTCCTGATTGCTTCTGAAAATACCTCTACGTGGATGGCAAATTGGTTCAGATTTCCAGGTATTAGGGTGGCTGATAGG